ATTCCAATATTAAGTGGAGCAATTTAGTTTCTAAAGGTTGATGCTGACTTGATCGAGAGTCTTTTCCCCAGAATTTTGTATATACGTGTGTTGCTTGACATCTTAACCTATTGGCTTTTGATTGCTGAACTTCCATTTGTTTCATGATTCTTCAGTTTGTTTGTCCCATTTAAAAACCTACCAGAGCCTCTCATGACAGTTCTTACTTATGTGGATTTAATATAAACTTAACCAGCTAAAAAAAAACTTAAAAAATAAAAAACTACCATAATCTTTTCTCTGGAGAACAGGAGAAACATCATTTAGACTTGCAAATACAAGGAGGGGTAAATTGGCTAAATTGGTGGATAAAATGGGTTGCCTCAGTTTCATTGGTCTGATTATTGTTGTTATTATTATTATTTTGCTATACTTGTCTTTGGAAACAGAAATCTTCTCCAATTACAGATATTTGCTTATGCGTTGGCTTCTTTAAATCCTATGACATCACATATGTAATGGTTGTTCAATAATTCCCGTAAGTTAGTCTTAAATCAAAAGGTGAGAAGAGTAGTTCTAAAACCCAAACTTCTTTCTACTGAAATTTATAAAACTAGTCTCAGTACTCAGAAAGGCTAAATGTATGCTACTTTTCTTTTCATTGGTTCAGTGTGCCTCAGATCTCCCTTTCTACTATCTGAGAACCTTGAGACTACAGTATTTTATTACATAAAACTCTTTGGACATACATTATATTTTATGGTTTATTTATTTTTACAGAGTTTTTAGTGTGGAAGAATTTAAACATATACAAGTCTATTATCACTCAATGTCAACTATTATCAACTCATTAGTCAATCTGTACTGTTATCTATGACCATTGGGTAATAGTGAGCAAATCCCCAGACATCATACCATTTGATCTGTTAGTATTTCAGTATATATCTCTAAAATTAAAAAGACTCTTTAAAAAAGCATAACGAGGGGTGCTTGGGTGGCTCAGTCAGTTGAGTGTCTGACTTGATTTCAGCTTAGGTCATGATCTCGGAGTCATGGGGTTGGGCCCGCATCAGAATCTTCACTCAGCAATGAGTCTTCTTCTTTCCTTCTCCCTCTCCCTTTGCCACTCCCCCCTTTCTCTCTAAAATAAATGGATAAATCTTTTAAAAAATAATAAATACATAAAAATTAAAAAGCATAACTATAATCATACCTAAAAACTTCAACAATATTTCCTTAATAGTATCAACTAATCAATATCAAAATATTTTTGCTTTGTAATTTTTACATTTAGTTTATTCAAATCAAAACCAAATATAATCTACATATTGCATTTGATTGATATGTTTCTTAAATCTCTTTATCCATAATTCTCCTTCTTTTTCTTGTAATTTGTTAAAGTCCTTTAAAGTTTTTCAAATTTCAGTTTTGTTGATTGCATCCCCATACAGTTGTTTAATATATTTCTCCATTAGCTGAATTTCCTGTAACCTGATAGATAGGTCTAGAGATCTGATGATATCATTTTTATTTTTTGGCAAGAATACTTAATAGGAATGCTGTATATTTCCATCAGGAGGCCAAAATGTCTTTTTGTTTCTCTGTGATGTTAACATTGTTCAGTGTGTTCAGTTGTTGCCAGCCTGATTCTTCCATTATAAAGTTTCCCATCTGCTATTAACATGAAGTGCTTAGTAGCCATTGATGATCATAAACAAGGACTTATTATTTCATTAGATGTTACAAAATGGTATATTCTAATACTTTATTTCTTCATTTATTAGGTTTTGTTTAAAAAGGTTTGTTTTGGTAAATTAAATTAAATAGAAGGCGTCTATGATGTGCTGGTACTCTGCTAAATGGTGTAAGAGGAAGACAAAATACATATGATGGACCCTCCTGTAAATAAAAATTAAACACTATGCTCAAAATGATTAGAGAATAGCTATGGTATGGTAAGTGAAATAAGAAAAGAGAAATGATCATGGACTGAAGAATGTTTCATGAAAGAAGTAGGACATATACTGGTCCAAAGAGCCTTCTATGAAATAGGGGGAAATGGAAGGTGTCACAGGTGGGAGAACAGTTTGGACCAAACCATGAGGCTAAGAACAAGAATGGCCACGTACGGAAAGGCACATGAAGAAAAATCTATGTAGAGATTATATGTTAGTTAAGTTAAAATGGGGCATTGATTGTGAGTAAGAAAACTAAGTTACTTAGGTCCTATTGGAATAAATTGGCATCACCCCATGAACGCTGGCATTTTTCTCAATACATTTGGCAGATAGACTGGGTGAACTAGGAAACTACAGTGAAGTGGCCTAGGGAAATCCAGTACTTTAGAAATTGATTTGTCATAAGTAAAACTCATCTGATCTTAAGAAATATAAGATTGCCCAAGTCAAATGTAAAATGTAAAGAATTAGTCGTTTTGATAGGTGCATGCAATAATAAAAATGCCAACTACAGAGATATTCCACAGAATAAATCAGGATGTTTGAAAAAAGAGGCAGGTGCACAGGGCTTGTGAAGCTGTGGCAAAGTTAAAAATGTTGAGTTTAATTTTGAAAATATTGTATTTTGGGTACACATACAAATAGTAAAGACCTTAAGGAAGGAAAAAGTTTTAATCGGAAAGAGATGGTCAACAAGGTCAACATGATGTACCACCATCACTAGCAACACTTGACAGGACACTTGATTTTAACACAGTATGTTACAGATGGAAGATGGTTTACAGGAAGGAATGGTTTGGGAGTAGGAGATCAGGATGGAAGGCATGTGATCTTATTCTAGGAATGGGCTTCCAAAAAGGAAAGTAAATATAATGGCCAGGACAAGCAGCAGGTGGGGAAACCTAGGTGTGTCTGAAAACCAAGAGTCTGAATTTCCTTGGTATTTTTTTTAAGATTTATTTATTTATTTGAGAGAGAGAGAGAGAGCACATGTGAGTAGGGGGAGGGGCTTAGGGTGGGGAGAAAAACAGACTCCTTGCTGAGCATGGAGCCCCACTCAGGGCTCCATCTCACAACCCTGAGACCATGACCTGAGCTGAAATCAAGAGTTGGGCACTTAACCAACTGAGCCACCCAGGTGCCCCTCCTTAGTTATTTTGATAACTAGGAGAAAGTATATTTTTAGAAAACAAACTTTTAATAAGACTGATGGATCACAGACCTGTACCTCTGACACAAATAATACATTATATGTTAAAAAAAAAAAAAAAAAGAAGATAGTAGGAAGGGAAAAATGAAGGGGGGGGATTCGGAGGGGGAGATGAACCATGAGAGACTATGGACTCTGAGAAACAAACTGAGGTTTCTAGAGGGGAGGGGGTGGGGGGATGGATTAGCCTGGTGATGGGTATTAAAGAGGGCACGTATTGAATGGAGCACTGGGTGTTATACGCAAACAGTGAATCATGGAACATTACATCAAAAACTAATGATGTGATGTATGGGATTACCATAACATAATAATAATAATAAAAGTAGAAACTTTAAGAAAATTAAAAAATAAATAAATAAATAAAACACTGTGATACAGAAAAAAAAAGAAAGTGCAAAAAGAGCTTAATTATTTAGTCACTTTAATTCATTATATTTTAGGACATTTTATTTATTCTATTCTCATTTTATGTATTACCATAATGAGTCATGCTTATATCAAACATGTGAGATACAAGGTATTAAATTGGAAATGCTAGTTTACCATAATGAGTCATGCTTATATCAAACATAAGATATGAGGTATTAAATTGGAAATGCTAGTTCCTTCCTTTTCTGAAAAGAATTCTGCACACTTCTCCACCTTCCTTCTTTCGCTTTCTTAGTTTTCTTAGTGTATGTGGAACATGTAAATGTTTGTTTCTATTTTGTTAGTTTCATTGGTTTGCTGCCTACAAAGATAACACATATTTATTGTAAAAATGTCACTCAGCACAGAAAGGCTTAAAGAAAAAATTTTTTGAATTTCATGAAATGATGTTATTCAGAGATAACCAGTATTATCATTTTGGTAAAACTCCTTCTAAGTCTTTTTCTATGTATAGATACATAGATGATATTTTATGTTAAGGAGACCATACTATTAATGTAGTTTTGCACCTGCTTTTTTGCATCTAATAATATGTTGTGGACATTTTTTATGTCAATGAATATAGGTATAGACCATTCTTTTTCAATGGCAGTCACTGCATGAACGTACCATAATTAATTTAAGCTATCTCCTGTTGCCAGACATTTAGACTCTTTCTAACTTTTCTGTTTAAGCAGCACTACAGTGAACACTCCTGTGGATACATTTTTGCGCACTTATCCAATTGATTGTCTTCTTTGAATAACTTCCCCAAAATGCAGTTGTGGGTCAAAGGCTATGCATATTTTATATTGATACATATTTATTTACATATTGTCCAGTGTCCTTTAGAAGTGCAGTACCAGTTATGCTTCTACCAATAATACTGATCAGTATCCAGAAAGTTCTTTTAAATGTCTTAAATTTTTTTTTCATCTTCATTCAGGCTCATTTTCCTCACTTATAAAATAAGAAGGATGAAATCTATCAGTGGTTCTTAAACTTTTTAGGATCTTAGGATCATCTGAGAATTTTTGAAAACTGTTGACCAGAAACTGGAACAGTTGTTTCAGAAAAACACACCTGTGCAAAAACAGAGAAATTTTTACATTATATTTATGAGAATTCATAGATTCTTTGAAGTCAATTCACAGACTCTAGGATCTCAGTCCATGAATCTAAGTGAAGAATCCCTGAATGAGATGATTTTAAAGTTGCTTTCTCTTTTTAACACTAATACACACACACACACACACACACACAGCACACACACACATCTTACATACATATCATGCACATGTCACACACCCATGTGCACTCAGAATTTTAATGTGTATTTGGAAAAACTTTGACACCTGCTTGATATAGAACCTAGTCTTATTGTGGTCTGTAAAATCACTTGATTGGGTATAGTTATTGGAATGAATTTCCATTTATTTCAGGTTCTTCAATGGCGAGCCCACCAGGAAGAGGTAGCAAGACTGGAAATGGAAATTTCTGCCAAGAGAAGAGAAAAGGAGAAGGAGAAAGAGAAGCTATGGAAGGAGAAGGAATTGTTACAAAGAGCAGAGAAGAAAAAGAAAGTATGAATTCTGCTATTACTGTGAATGTTTGAATGAATGCTTAGTTGTCTGGCTGAGCTTTGATCGATCTTGGTGTTTGGCATGGAATCATCATAGGCAGTTCTTAGAAAGATTCGTAAGGTTCTAGTGGAGTCTTGCTTGAATTCATTTAAGCTTCAAAGATTGGACATGGAGGAGAATCCACTTTATTGACCTGCATGAGCACAGGTACTTGTGATTAGAAGGAATGCTGTAGGGAAAGAAAAGTTAGGGTTTATGACTTGTTAAGTCTTGTTCTAAGTAGGAACATGCAAGGACAAGAGGATACCAGGGTAACATTTTGGTTGACTGCAGTGTAGCAATTGAGTGTCAAAAGAGGTGTTTGCTGGTAAAATACTTTGTACCAAGGTCAGAGCAACTCATGCAATACCAGAAGGCCCTTTAAAGAATTTACTTCTTGGCTTATTATTTGTTAGATTGTTTTTCATTTGCTGACACAAATTCATCACTCTACTTTTGAGCAAACATTTGCTTCCCAGTTTTCAAAAAATTAATCACAACACTTATTAACAGCTTCAAAATGATTGCTGATATTCTGTGGAAGGAAAAAACCGAATTTGAGATGGGATTTTAAAAATATATCTGGCATCTTTATTTAGATATTTTTGTTTATTTTATCAGTTTTTGTGGTGTAAACAAACACATTAGTATTCATCACCTAGCATTGAAACTGTTAATGTTTTTTTTATTCTTTCACAGATTTATTTTATTTTACACATAAAGTTGAAGCCCTCTCTTGAAGATGTACTCAGAACCATTTTCCTTCTTACCTCCTCAAAGTCAGTCTTGATCATAAATTTTATTCCTATCTTTACAGGCCATCAATTGCTTTTAAGATTTTATTTATTGACTTGACAGAGAGAGTGAGAGAGCACAAGCAGGGGGAGTGACAGAGGGAGAGGGAGAAGCAGGCTCCCCGCTGAACAGGAAGCCTGATGTGGGGCTCCATCCCAGGACTCTGAGAGCAAAGCCGGGGAGAGAGGCAGAGAGTGAGGGAGAAGCAGACTCACTGCTGAGCGGGGAGTCCATCAAGGGGCTCGATCCAAGGACCCCGGGATCATGACCTGAGCCAAAGGCAGATGCTTAACCGACTGAGCCACCCAGGCGCCCTGCTTTTAACATCTTTTAATATGTAGTTCGTGACTTTTAAATTTTTTCATGAATACTTTCAGACTGTATCATTCTGCAGCATGTACTTCAGCATTTAACCTTAAACTTTTGAGATATAGCTATATTAATAAACAGAGATGGAGCCCGCCCCTTTGCACTGCTGTACACTCTTTCACTGGAGGCTGCCACGCATCCCTTCTCTTAGTGGTTGACATTTACGTTTCTGAGGTTCTGTTCTTGCAACTGTGCTGGTGCGGCCGCCTTGTACGTGCCGACTGGGCGTGTGTGCCCAGCTCTCTCCACAGTACACAAGGAGCAGAATTACAGTCTAGTAGAGTTTGTATGCTCTCAATTTCATAAGGTTTTTTGTTTTTAGTTTATAAGATATTATAAATCTTCTTTTTGACTTTTGCCAATCTGGTGAACGTGAACAGTATCTCGGTGTTTCAAATTGGATTCTCCTGATCACTTGGGAGATTGAAAAATCCCCTCATGTTTATTTGGGCCATTTTCTTCCTCTGTGAATTGCTTATTAGTACTTTTGTTTGTCTATTTTTCTTTATTAATCTGTAAAAGTTCTTTATAAATTCTGGATACTATTTCTTTTTGTCAGTTATTTTTTCTTTCATTGGTCATCTGCCTTTAAATTTGGTCTGTAGTGTCTACGGTTTCATGGAAATTTAAAATGATCAAGTAATGAAAGTTATTAAACTCTTTTCCTTTGTGAACTGTACTTTCCTTTATGAACCATGACCTGACAGTGAGAGCATCTTTACAGAGAGTTTTTGTTCACTTCTGCTTAGGGGCCTATACATTTTACTGGCCCAGGACCAGTGTGTGTATTGACTGTGAGATTTGGGACCTGTTCTGTGAGCTTGCAGAGGGTGCTGGCTTAGCACTCATGCACAGCACCTGCCTGGGTTCTGCTGGTGACCCCTTTTCTCCTCTGGTCCCAAGCAGAAAGTTATCTCCCTTATCACTTTTCTGGGAGTGGTCCTGGTGTGTCTCATTCCCATTTTGTGTATGGACAAGTCCTATAGGACTTCTTACTCTTTTTAAGTGGCATGATTCCAGCTCCCATATACACAAGTCTCACAGCTAATCTTAAAGACCCAACCACCAGCTCCTTAGACCTGCCTCAGGCCCAGTTCTGTCCAAGAGCCCTTTGGCTTTGGCTCCATTTTACTGCTCTGACTTTGAGTTCCATCTTTATCTTCAACACTGGGACATTGTGTGTGTTTGTGTGCTGTTGTGTTATAGTTTGTCCAAAATTTCTATGTGTTTAAAGTAAGAAAGGAGATTTCTATGTCAACTCAGACAAACTGATCAAAGTTCTGCCTACCTTTATACATATACTACGAATCCAGACTCTCTTTGTTCTAACTATTTTCTATGCTGGAGACAAATTTTAGTTCTTTAGTGTTTAACAGGAGTTTCACAAAACCCTCCTATAGTTACTCAGGTCAGAAGCTCCCTCTGACTTGAGACTGATTGCTTTGTTAGCCAGTGCTCTGTTTTTCCTCATCTACTGTTTCACCTGCCTGGATTTCTCTTCTCATGAGCTAGCAGCCATAGAGATAGAGAAACTATTCCGTGTATAAAACCCCACCTGAGTATTTCTGAATAACAGATCATCTTTCTCCTAATTCTTCTTCTCAGCAGTTTGTCTTTTAGGGAATGACACTGTCTTTTTGCTGGAATAACATTTTAATTTGTATCCCAAAGTTTACCCTGGTAGGTGCCCAACTCTTTTCAAATTGACCTTTAAATTATTAGATCACTTTTTCTTCTGTGCTTTAAAACTTGAGTTGAACATAATATTCAGTTTTCATAGTTTCATATCAAGACTCAAGGTAAGTTTTGATTCATAGGCTGTTAGGTGCTAATGGTAATATTTCAGAAGCATCTCTCCACTTTTGATATTATTGTCATGATAAAATCAAAGAATAATGTCTTTCCATAAACTATCCCTAGGAGCTATTGTAAGAAACAAAATTACTGTGCTAGGTGAACCTTAAAATGCCTGATACGTAATATTGGTCCCAGTACCACCCTTTCACTAGATGTAGCATTTTGGGTGGCTTGAATAACATAAAAACTACTCTGCATCATGGCGTTTTAGGAGGTTTTTTGCTGCTTGATGCCTGGAGTTCTATGGGATCAAAGCAAGGATAGTTTCAGCCTCACTCCCAAAATAGAGATTTCAAGCAAGGCTCACATTAAAAGCAGACATATTCCTTACTTGCTCTAGCATATACATTTCTCTCCCAATTTTACAAGTTCCTAATCTAGCATTGAAGCCCCCACACTGTACACCTGAGGGACAGGAAGCATCATCAGGAAAGTCAGAATAACTCCACCAGCCATGGCCCACCATCCATGTGACCTTCAGTCTTACCTCTGAGATGTTTCTGGGGAGAAATCTATCGTTTTGTGATCTCTTAGCCTCAAGTGACATTTTATCAGTAAATATCAATAGACCCAGGCATCAGTAGAACCTTGGCACTTATGTTGTCCCCCTTGACCTCAGGTGATGTGGCAAATACTCAGAATTACATTCATCCTACAGATAACCAGGGGCAGCAGAAACAGTCTAAAATAAAAGAGGGTAGGCTATTATAAAAGAATGCAGGCTAGAGGGCTAGACCAGTACTGTTTCCCAGAAGATTCAAGAAGCTCTGTGCTTAGGAGGGAACCCAGAGTATCTTCGCAATTCAGATCAAAGCTATTTTCTCAGTGTGGGAATCTGTGGGTTCTTATGAGAGCAATTTACCATGAAATTCCTTCCCCAGTGTTTCTTAATCTAATAATATACTGATCTAAAGAGCTAAGAATTGCGGGGGGGGGGTAGGTAGATACTGAAGAATGATAAAAAATAAATCCCCAGACTATAAACTCTACTTCTTCAGTATTGTTGGGACTTAAAGGGGACAATGAATCACACCTGTGATAGGCAGGCTTCTAAGATGGGCCCCAAGATTTCCTGCCCTCCTGGGATACATACCCAATATAATCACCAGGATCGTAACTACCGTGGGTTAGATTTTATTATATGGCACAGACAACCTTGAGAAAGAGAGATTACCTGGAAGGACTTGACCTAATCCCATGAGCCCTTTAAAAATACAGAGTTTTCTTTGGCTTGTCACAAGAGGGGTCATCAGAGATTTAAAGCATGAAAAGGACATGACTGAATATTTTAGCTTGGAGATTGAGGAGGTCACATGGCAAGGGATGTGGGTGGACTCTAGCAGCTGAGAGTGGCCCTGGCTGACAGCCAGAAGAGAAATGGGAACCTGTAACCTGTAGTCCTACAACTGTAAGGAACTGAATTCTGCCAAAACAAGAATGAGCTTGGAAGCATATTTTCCTCTAAAGCTTCCAGGTGAGAACTCAGTTTTCTCGGCACCTTGACTTCATTCTTGTGGTGTCGTGGGCAGAGAGTCCAGGGACACCATGCTGGACTTCTGATTTATAGGAGTCTGAGCTCATAAGTAAGTGTTGTTTTAAGCTGCTAAATTTGTGGTAATTTGTCACACAGCAATTAAAAAACTAGTACAGTTTTTGGTATTTAGAAGTGAATTGTTGCTGTAACAAATACCTGAAAATGTGGAAGTGGCTTTGGAATTGGGAAGTGGGAAGAAGCAAGAAGAATTTTAGGAACATGATAGAAAAAAGACTAGAATGCCTTGAACTGATTTAGTAGAGGATGTTGAAGATGTGGCTGCTGAGTCTCAAAAGGAAGTGATGAACATATTCTTCAAAACTGGAGAAAGGGTCACTGTTAAGTGGTGACAGGAAGCCTAAGGAATTAATTCTGTGCTGCAGTTCGGTGGAAAACATTCCTGAGT